TTTATTCCCATCAATTTGATTTCTGTTCCTCTCTCTCCTACTCTCTTTGGTTATTGCCCCCTCCTTTCTTCTCTTTTTTCCCTTCCTCTCCCCCCCCCCCTTCTCCATCATTCTCTGTTCTTGATAATATCTGAACTCCCTCCTTACTTCATCACCTCGGGTTTCCACACAACTCTGTGCGGATAATTTGCCGGTCTCATTACCTTTTCAACCATTTGACCAAGTTGACACATTTATTCCTATGATTTTGACACTTCGGTTTTTAAGTTTTAACGTAATATTTATTATGAGTGTTGAAGGCGAATCATGGGACAAAATCTATCTCTGGCTCTTCCATTAGAAGTATGTATCAGTTTTTATGTTACCATTGTACAATTTATAAGAGAATACCATATGTCAATTTACACGGGCAATCATTTTTACAGTTCCAATTATATTCTCACATTGGATTCTAATTAATAGGAAGAAATCAATGCGTAGCTTGTAGCGTTTATTTATTTAATTTTTAATGTTCCGACTATCAAGACATTGTATTTATTTTGTAATTTTTGGTAATGTCACTGAAGAAGGCCTAACATAGGCAGAAACGTTTGATTTTGAATGTATTTTATATCTATAATATAATTTGATTTTATGCACGAACACCTTGCAACGGCTCTTTTCGCTTCTTATCCTTAATTATTGTTAATTTTGGAGCCTACAACTAATTTTAAATTGTTATACTTTTTTTATGTAATTTGGATATGCGCTATTGATTGAGCCTATTATCAACTCAATCGGCCCAGCCGTTATTGAGATCCGATAATCTCGGCTCGTCTCAACTTTCGGGCTCGCGTAAAGAGACACGGTTGGTCTTGTGCTCGCGTTGCGCGCTGCGCGTGAACTTGGCGCGAGACACTACCGTGTCTCTTGATTCTGTTTAAATCCATCAGAATTTCTTGTAAACCTTACCACATTGTGTTGTTAGATTTACAAAACTCTACCAGAATTTCTTGTTAACTTTACTATATCGTTTTGTTAGGTTAACACAACTTTGTAGTTAAAAAACAAGTTCGAATAGGTGTGGTTTTTGTAAAATACTAACAATAAATTTTGGTTTAAAGTATACTCAGTGATGTGATGTTTCCTACCGGGCTCCCGGCTCCCGAGCCCGGTAGGAAACATTACATCACTGGTATACATATATTTCATTAAAAAAAAAAAACAACCACGTGATCATAAAACTTTTCGGATGTAAGGCTGATGGCAGAGACCGAGACGTAAGAACTTATGTATGTCGTAGTCATTTCCACACGTATCCATACAATAACCTTTCACGACTTACGTTTTTCTCTGCCTTACCATACGTCCACGACAGACGTCTACGACAGACATAAGTGCTTACTTCTCGTTCTCTGCCATCGGTCTAACTAATATTCCGTAATGGATTCCACGACGCGACGTAAAACTTTAGCGAGCTCAGTTGAGACTGTTCCGACTGCTTAGCGCCATTGCTTCGCAAAAGATCTAATGCGCGCGATACACGCCGCGAGTAGCGAGGGCGCAGTAGCAGTGTAACAAATAAATGCGGCGAACAGTTGATCAACCGTTTAGTGAGTGATGACGAAACTGTTGCAGAGCGCTGCGATTTATGTAAATATAACAAGAAGTTTTGTAGATCCAACAAGAAAACACTTATTCAAATCCTTATAGTAAAAGTATTGTTCGTTTTGTCTGTTCTGGGTCTATCTCGGAACAGACCCAAGCAGACCTGGGTATCTTTGGGTTAAGATAGAAAAACTCCGGAAGTGGATCGTAGAACAAGAAGTTAACTACTTATGTGCTCTGAACGACTCTGAAATGAACTCGAATCACTATAAAAAAAACACAGTTTATAACCTAATCTGAATATAACATGTGCATATTTTTAAAGGTGTTCTTGATTTCGTTTTACTTCGTTTCTCGACATATATATTTGGTTTATAAAGTAATCATGACTTTTTCGTCCTCATCATCATCATCCGATTCAGAGATATCTATCGGCAAGGAAATACTTTTTGATTCTTTTTCATCTTCTGAAGACGAAAGCGATAAAAATAGACATTGCATAGAAAATTATGAAGCTGTCATTTCTGAATACAGCGAAAAAGAATTTGCAACACACTTTAGATTAAGAAGAGATGTTGTTAATCAACTTATTTTACAGTTTTCGCAATCAGTGCATTACATGTCTATTGTTAATGGTAAATATAATTATGTCAATTTTGTTCATCTTATGTAATAATATATTCTTTTTTTTTCTTTTTCAAAAATATTAATAGATGAGAATATACATATGTAATTCTAAAAGTAATAATATTAAAAATAATAAATGTAATAAATTTAACACTTCTTTTTTTTAGCTTTTGGCCGAGATGCTATATCTCCTGAGAAGCATATATATACGTTCTTGTGGTTTGTTGGCCATGAAGTGTCATCCTATAGAGACTGTGCGGATCGCTTCAATCTGTCATTGAGTGCACTATTTGACATTATTACAAGAGTGTCTAATTATTTGGTCGATATTGCACCACAGCATATTCACTGGCCTAATGAAGAGAAAGAAAAACAACTAAAATATATTTTCAACAAATTAAAGGTTTTCCAAATGTTATTGGGTGCATCGATGGAACTCATATTCTCATAGATAGGCCAAAAGAAAGTGCAGAAAGTTACTATTAGGTGCGCAACTAAGTTCTCGCTGTTTTTTTTTATGAAAATGCAACTTTATTGTGAAAAAATAGTTACAAATGAATTATTCTAAAGTATTGCCCATTGCTAGCTACAACTTTTTCCATCTTTCTGGCAGAGCTCGAATACCGTTACGGTAAAAGTGTTTGTCTTTTGAGGTCTATCCACGAATCAAGTCCTTTTTTGATGTCTTCATATGAGCGGAACTGCTGATCAGCCAGACCATATGCCATCGAACGGAACAAGTAATAATCGGACGGCGCAATATCTGGGGAATATGGCGGGTTGGGTAGAACTTTTCATTTGAGCGTTTCCACATAGGTTTTAACGGGTTTGGCAACATGAGGCCGAGCGTTGTCATGCAGTAGCACTTTTTCGTGCCTCTGCTCGTATTGTGGCCGTTTTTCGCGCAGTGCTCGGCTCAGTCGCATCAATTGAATTCGATACCGTTCCCCAGTGATGGTTTCGTTCAGTTTCAACAGCTCATAATAAATAACACCGACCTGGTCCCACCAAATACACAGCATAACCTTCGCAGCGTGAATATTCGGCCGAGCCGACGACGTAGAAGCATGACCGGGCAGTCCCCATGACTTTCTTTTCTTTGGGTTGTTGTAATGAATCTATTTTTTATCACCCGTCACGATGCGATGAAGAAAACCCTTCCTTTTTTGCCGCTGGAGCAGTTGTTTACAGGCGAAAAAACGACGCTCAACGTCCCTTGGCTTCAAATCATAAGGAACCCAAGTTCCTTGCTTTTGAATCATTCCCAACGCATGCAATCGCTTGGAAATGGCTTGGCGGGTAACTCCTAATGCTGAAGCAAGCTGTTCTTGCGTTTGGCATGGATCCTCATCGAGCAATGTCTCCAATTCAGCGTCTTCGAAGGTTTTTTGGCCTTCCTCACGCGGACGGTCGTCAACATCGAAATCACTGTCTTTGAAGCGACGGAACCAATCACGGCACGTTGTTTTACTTAGAGCAGCATCTCCGTAATCTTTTTGGAGCTCTCGATGCGCTTCAGCCGCCGTTTTTTTTCGAATAAAATAAGAAATTAACACTTCCCGCAAATGACAATTATTTGATACAAAATCAGACATTTTCACACAACCAAAAGTATATGACGCCAAAACAAAATCACTAACGTGTCAAAGCGGTTTGTTTACCATATGTCTAAGCTTGGCTCGTGACGTTTTGGATATGTCAAAATCGAATCCAGCACTTACTGCTGGAGCCATCTATTGACAAACAGCGGGAACTTAGTTGCGCACCTAATATAATAGAAAAGATTTCTTTTCTATACAAATGCAAATAGTTTGTAACCATGTACGAAAAATTATAGACGTTTTTATTGGGTTTCCAGGATCTGTACACGATGCAAGAGTGTTTAGAAACTCACCACTGATTGAAAAATTACTTAATCCAGAATTACGTGAGTACTCCATAATTTCATGATATTATTTTTTCATGGCAAAATGAACTAAAACTTCAAATAAATCTATTTAAAAAATGTTGAATATTATTATCATATATTCTATATTTTTTTAATATTTATGGATGAAAATGTTACAGATGGATGGCTTTTAGGAGATAGTGCTTACCCATGCCTTCCAACGTTAATGACTCTTTATAAAGACAATAGTCATCTGACTGCTGCAGAAACTTTATATAATGCCAAATTATCGTCATGTCGTGTGCGAGTTGAACATACTATCGGCATTTTGAAGCAACGGTAACATAAATTTTTTATACTTACATAATATATATGTTTATACGAGTCAATTTAATGAGTTCCAACTTTATATTCAAGAGCCAAGATATGCGAAAAATGTTGATCATAGATAAAAAAATCTACAAAATTTGACATTATTAATTTGGCCTATTGTACAATTCTGAAATGTATAATTATGTAAATAATTTAATTTCATATTATATAAATTTATATTAAAGATTTCGATTCCTCTACCACGTTAAACTAAAAACTATCGAAAGGAGGATAAAAGTTATATATGCATGTTGTGTATTGCACAATATGTGTGGTATAGACGACCTTGATTTGCTCGATCCATTGCCGGCTGATGAGACTGTCAATAATATTGAAGTGAATGTCAGTAATATTGAAGCAAATAAAGAAGACTACCAGAATAATAATGATTTACCTAGTGGATTGGCATTAAGGAATAAATTGCGTGATATTTTATGGAAATATTAACTTTTGCAAATAAATAATATGTATTAATTTTACAAGTCTTTTATTACACATGTTTTATTACAGTCTTTTTTATCACAATATTGTACTATATTCTTCTTCATAATATTTTTTATTATATTTAAATAAAAAATTTGATAATGGAAAACATAACTCGGCGTAGTTTAAGTTCTTCTCAACTAGGAACAAGATTGAGACAATAAAATAATAAATAATTAAATTATAGATTGCGCATATTTTGCCTTCAACAATCTTAAAACAAAAAATATATCTATACTATTAATAAAAAAAAACAAAATAAAATTCACGAATTTCATAAAATATTTTCAAAGTATTATAACATCTCATCAATATCATCAATGTCATTGTCGATGTCGATATTGTACTTTGCTTTATATTTTTTGGCTTTCAATTTCAGTTTGATGCGTTTGAGTTTCAAATACTCATGTTGACGAGAAGCTTTTTCTTTATCTTGTTTTTCGCGGATATTTTTAGCAGACTCTCTTTTTGGTAATTTTTTGTTATTCTTTTCGACTGATGTCTCCTGTTTATCATTTTCACGAAATCTGAAATATTAAATCAGATTACTTAATAGATTATTTTATTAATAATAAAGTATTTTTATTTTATGTTAAATGATCGCATTCTTACATATTTTCTTTGCCGATTATCTTTTGACATTCTTCTTTGCCATTATCTATTGCACAGATATCTTGTTGCTGAAATGGTGCAGCATTATCTTCAGTTTGTGCAACAACATTGATGCTTTTCATAGATGTTTCTTGATCTGTCTGTGAATCTGTCGGCGGATCTGTCGCTTCTGAACTTGTACTTGCAGTGCTATTGTTTATAACAAGACAATTCGTTCCCATTAATACGGGAGGAATTATGGAATAAACTTTTCCAAAAATATCTTGCAGTTCACTGTAATATAATTATTAGAAATAATATGTAATATTATAATATATATTACATATAGAATTAATAAAAAGTAGATTACGATAATATTTATATATGTGTATATAAACATACTTTTCAAATTCAAGGCACATTCGTCCTCTTCCACTTTTCTTTGGCCCTTTATTTAGTAGTCTTTTTTTATATGCCTTTTCCAATGCTTTCATTTTATTTTCAATTTGCATGCTTGTGAATGTGTATCCGTATGTAGACATTTTTTTGTGAATACGTGTGTACATTTGTTTTTTGGAAACAAATTTGCGCTTATCAAGCAATCTTTTATATTTTGGGTAGATACTTAATAGGCATTTAATTGCTTTGCTGTTCCAGAGTACAGACTTCCAAGACAAAACATCATCCAGTAGGTCTTCATCCTCTGTTAAAGTTGGAGTGTTAGTATCCTGTTTGTTGTCACTCTCCATTGAAGTCTGAGAATTGTCATTGTCACTGAGCATTGCTATATATATAAAATAAAACAAAAAATAATCCAATTTACGTAATATACAGGGTGATTCAAAATAACCTGATGTCCTTGCAATGCCATATTCTTGAGCGAATTCTGAGACGATTTTTCCTTTTACAAAATTTTGTCCAAAGCTTAGTTTTCAAGTTATAATTGAAAATAGATAGCAACTTACGAATTTGGTACAACGGGCAGGCAGGGACGCGCAACGTATAATGAGACTGTAAAGTGTTTACTATCGTCTCATGACACATTACACCGTCCCTGTCTGTCCGTTGTATTGGACTCGTAAGTAGAAAACTATTTTCAATTATAACTCGAAAACTAAGCTTCGGACAAAATTTTGTAAAAGAAAAAATCGTCTCGGAATTCGTTCAAGAATATGGCATTGCAAGGACATCAGGTTATTTTGAATCACCCTGTATATTAATTAATTAAAATGGACACACTAAGAATTATACAAAAAAAAATTGATAAAAATACCTGTTTTCATTACATATCGTCCTGAAAAATATACATTTTGTTTGCCTATGAAGCAATTGTGAGAACTAATTGCGTCTAGTTCTACTTTTTCATTACACTCATTACATATAAACTGAAATATAAACGTACATAAAGGGTTATTGTATATATTTTACAAGATTAATAAAAAACAGGGATATTTATTTTAATTTAATATCATTTTAGGTTATGTAAAGTTTGGTTAACAATCAAAATAATACATATGAAACTACTTACGTCGTCAATCTCTTCCTCGAAGTCATGTCTACTTATATTTTCACTTCCTTGCATTTTCGTTTGGTTTTAGGTTTGAGCAGTTTTTGGGGCTTTTAAACAGAAAATTGCCGTGATATGCGTATTAACGCACAAAGCTCGATGTCCTTTCAAAATACGCGGGTTCTTGATAGTACACCCGAATGGAACCGACTGGAACTATCGTTTCGCGAGAGAGCATTATAAGGAAACTTCGAGTGGACCTAAACCAAGATCTATAGAGAAAAGGTTACCTCATGCGCAAAGAGGGACGAGGGGCAAGAGGGGCTAATGCTGTGCGGGGCGAGCGGCAAGAGGGGCAAATGCTGAGCGGGGCGAGCGGCAAGAGGGGCAATGATGATCTCATCGTCAAACAGTAGTTGTCTCTCTCGCACGCTTTAGTGTTTTCTCTCTCGCTCCTTTAATATAGAAATGCTTTGAGTTTTTATCGAAAAAATACTCTTATCTTGTAAAATATTGATAACACTGGAAATTGCGTAATAAAAATTGAAAAGTAAATTAGAAAGGCGCTATAAATTACATATATTGCAAATTATAGCGCTAGATATTTAACGTTTATAATGTTAAATATCGCTGCAACAGATGCATTTGTAATACAAATTGCTTTGTACTCGTATTTAGACTGTAATATTAATGAAAATAAAATATAATTTGGAGATATACACAAAAAACATCATTTGTAAAGTAGTAAAATAAAAGAAAAAATAGTACATATTTAAAAATTATTTTTAAAATAATATTTATTGTTTATATGCATTATTTACAAAAAAAAATACTATAAAGAAATTTATTTTTTATATTTGATTGTGAAAACCTCAAAAATTGTCAAAAAATTGTAACTGAAATTCATAAATGTAAGTACAATTCTAGAATAATATAAAAAGCATCATACACAAATTTATTATGATACAAACTTAAATAACGAAATTGTAACATATGTTTCAACATTGCAAATGTGAATATTTATATGATAAAATTTACAAAGTGTTAACAATTTTCAAATATTTGCTAATAAAATATTGAAATGTTTCTGTTGAAATCTTAAAATAATTCTTTAAAACAAATATGATGGGGTATATATTAGGGATCATTAAATATGCGGCAACATTGTGATTATAAAACTTTATAAGTATCTATAATAAAAATTAAGTATAATAAATATAATAAGTATATAAGTATAATAATAAAATTTTTATAAGTATCTATAATAATAAAAATACATATATATGTTGTATTAATCTGTTAATATAAAGAAATTTATTTGCGTTAAATTAATTAATAATTTTTTATATTAACAGATTAATATAACATATATATGTGTATTTTATTATTATAGATACTTATAAAAATTTTATTATTATACTTATATACTTATTATATTTATTATACTTAATTTTTATTATAGATACTTATAAAATTTTATAATCACAATGTTGCCGCATATTTTTAACGATCCCTAATATATACCCCATCATATTTGTTTTAAAGAATTATTTTAAGATTTCAACAGAAACATTTCAATAATATTTTATTAGCAAATATTTGAAAATTGTTAACACTTTGTAAATTTTATCATATAAATATTCACATTTGCAATGTTGAAACATATATTACAATTTCGTTATTTAAGTTTGTATCATAATAAATTTGTGTATGATGCTTTTTATATTATAGAATTGTACTTACATTTATGAATTTCAGTTACAATTTCTTGACAATTTTTGAAGTTTTCACAATTAAATATAAAAAATAAATTTTTTATAGTATTTCTTTTGTAAATAATGCATATAAGTACAGTATACAGCATATACAGTAAATATTATTTGTTAAATAATTTTTAAATATGTACTATTTTTTCTTTTATTTTACTACTTTACAAATGATGTTTTTTGTGTATATCCCCAAATTATATTTTATTTTCATTGATATTACAGTCTAAATACGAGTTCAAAGCAATTTGTATTACAAATGCATCTGTTGCAGCGATATTTAACATTATAAACGTTAAATATCTAGCGCTATAATTTGCAATATGTGTAATTTATAGCGCCTTTCTAATTTACTTTTCAATTTTTATTACGCAATTTCCAGTGCTATCAATATTTTACAAAATAAAAGTATTTTTTCGATAAAAACTCAAAGCATTTCTATATTAAAGGAGCGAGAGAGAAAACACTAAAGCGTGCGAGAGAGACAGCTACTGTTTGACGATGAGATCATCATGCTCTCCCCTTCCTTCGTCGCCCCTCGCCAACAAGCTGTTTCTAGCTCCCCCCTTACTTCGTCGCCCCTCGCCAACAAGCTGTTCTAACTCCCCCCTTACTTCATCGTCCCTCGCCCACAACCGGTTTGCCTGAGGTAACCTTCTCTCTATAAATCTTGGACTCTACCCTGCTGCAGGATGCTCGATCCATAGACATTTATAATATACCTAGACTGTTGACTTGTCTGAAATACATGGCCGCAGAAAGTATGTACAAAACATAACGTATGCATACGAAGCAAGCGGTACGCATAAGGCACTAGATATGTAGGTATTCTCATCCGCCATTTTGGTTCCTACTAGATGGAGAATTATAGCGTATATAGTATAGTATAGCGTACATGTGTAACACGTCAATTATTAAAAATGATTCAGGACTTTTTTCGACTCACTTTTTGGCAAGGAATAACGCTATGTACTTAGTGGGCAGTCTTTAAGTGTCACCCTGTATACGCTATAATTCTCCATCTAATAGGAACCAAAATGGCGGATGAGAATACCTACATATCTAGTGCCTTAGTACGCATACACATAAAATATGTGTATAATGATATGTGACTTACCGCTTACGTCACGCTATGTAATACATAGATTTTGCTGCCATCTTTTAGGCTCGGTAAATAAGGGAGTCAACAGTCTAGTGTATACTATAAATGTCTATGGCTCGATCTTGCAGTACTGCCTTAAAGTGATTCAAGACACGGAGTGATTATACTCCAGAAAAAGAAGAGTACTTGTGTCGGCATTGTGTGACTTTGTGTATTTCTGTATCGCCTGTATTTCTTGTCAAAAAGCTTCCAATAGCTGCCAAAGCATGAGTACTGACAGTGAATATCAGAACGCAGCCATTATGTCGCAAAAAAAAAGAGTACTTATGATTTGTTTAGGTAAAGTCTTTACCGTAAAGATATATCATAAAAAAATAAGTTTTTTTATAGAAAATTATTTCTTTATTATAATAGAAAAATTTTAGTAAAATATTTGTTGATTAGTTTATATATTTCATGTTACAGGCAATATTTGTCGTTCTCCAATAGCAGAAGCTGTATTCGAAAATGAAATAAGCAAAAGAGGTTTGAAAAATCAATGGGAAGTAGAAAGCGCTGCTATTATGGGATATCATATAAATAAAATTCCAGACCATAGGGCTTTAACTACATTAAAAGAAAATGGAATTATTAATTATTCTCACAGAGCACGCCAAGTAAGACTTTTTAACCTGGAAATTAAATATTACGAACATTATTAGATCTATAACTAAGTTTCCTGAGTTTTTTAGCCAAATTTCTCTTTACTCATTGACAAATAATAATATATTTAATCTTAATCAAAATGTTTACCCTATTTGTTTTCTACATAACCTTTTACCAACTTTTCTACATAACCTTTTAAATAGATATAGTGATAGGAGGATCTCAAGCCCAAATAGATTGTATTTCTTGATATACATTTTTTATTAAACCAATGTTTGAACAAACGTTTCGGCTGATCATTCAACCATCTTCAGTGTTCCTTTTTATATAAATAATTATACATCTTAGTGATTTTATATATACAATTAAGGTCAAGATAATAAATTTGCTTAATAAAATAAATAAATAATTAAATCTTTTGTGTCGCATACCTGTACTTAAAACTATGTAGATTCAATTCACCATTATTAAGGTCTTTACTGGTGAAGTCACTTATGTGATTGTGAGAAATTGCAGTTGCGGTGTTAATCACAAGTCACCATGCTCTCAACTGTGAGTTGATGTTAAATTTTAAAAGTGAAGACCCGAAGACATGTAATTCTGTAGGAAATAAGAGAGAGGGAATCAACGGAGAAGGGGCAACCACAATCCCAGCCAGTAAGGCAAAAAATATTATTTTTCTTAACTCTATAAAGTAGGCAATAAGTTGAGAATAGGAATATACAAATCAGAGAACAAATCAGTGTCACTTTGTTTGTTTAGACCGTGTGACTGTCTTTTTATGTTTATCATTTCAGAAGTTAATCTTCTCACATATGATTTTTCATTATCTACGATGCTAACTCCTTCCCAATTCATTTGGTGATTAAATTCTAACCGATGTTGAGAAATAACCGAAGAAGAAGTGCTTTTTTAATGTCGTTTTTATGCTCTTTAATCCTAGTTTCCAACCTTCTCTTTGTTTGACCTATGTAAGTTGCCTCACAATCCACACAAGAAATCTTATATACTACACCACTATGTAAAAATTATATATAAAATCACTAAGATGTATAATTATTTTTATAAAAAGGAACACTGAAGATGGTTGAATGATCAGCCGAAACGTTTGTTCAAACATTGGTTTAATAAAAAATATATATCAAGAAATACAATCTTGGGCTTGAGATCCTCCTACCACTATATCTATTTGAAAATTACAAGCCTAAACTTCAAGTTTATTATTTTCACGCGAGGACAAATATGCGTACACAATATTTTAGATTTATTAGGTTACACTTTGGTGAAAATTGTTGTTACAAAATGAAAGAGTTTATTAAAATGTTACGTTCAGAAATCAAATTGAGGTCAAGAATCAGATTTATTAAGTGTTGTATTAGAGAATGTGTTGTTCCACCGCATCTTGAATCAGCACATCTTGATATTCATTTTTACCAAAAAAGTAATGTAGACAGATTTAACCGAATAAAATTCAGATTCATGAGATTAATTTTGAATTTGGAATTGCGAGATGCATATAAGCATTTACATGAGATCAGATTTAGGTTGTATAAAATTGCGAATATAATATCTCATAGCCTTCCTTTTTAAATAAAAAGTAAATTTAAAAAAAAACAAGAGAATCTCAAAATTAGGTGTCTAACGGATTCTTTTAAAAGAATAGATAACAAATTTACTAAGACATTGAAAAAACATAATAAGAATTTGAACATTAAACGGATTAATTTCTATTGTAAATATAATAATTCACAAGAATTGAGGTCGAATCTGATAACGGGTGTCAATAATGGCAGTGTTGAAAGGGCGTATTCTGTTGGTCGTCCTCCGATATGTGACAATAAAGTTGAATCCGTTACTTTGTCTCCGGATGCTTTTACATTGGAGAATTCATTTGAGTACCATTCGCAAAGAATGGTTCATCAATCTTACTAGCTTTGACATTCCAAAAAAAGTTCAATTGTTGTTACAGTTGGGTGACCGATTTTGTACTCCCTTAAAAATGAAAGACAAAGATAAAGTCTTGTTAGATTATATGAAGTATATAGAAATAAATATAAGTAAAATTGATGAAGATTCTAGAACAAATATCAGGAATAGGACTACTCCAATACTGAAAAATTTTTATAACAACAATATTAAATGCAACTCACAAGAGAGATCAATTCTTAAATGGATGGATTGTACGAATGATTTCATTAAAAAACATCCTGAGATCATTTTTACTAATGCGGATAAAGGCAATGTAACGGTAGCGATGAATAGATCGGATTATATTGACAAAATGAATGTTCTTTTATCAGATGAGAGCACATATGAAATTGTGAGAAAGGATCCGACTAATAAAATTGTGAGTGATTTACGCTCGCATTTAAATAGATGAAAAAATAAGGAAATTATCAACAAAGAAATGTATGGTCGTTTATTGTCTAGTGAAGGTATCCTACCACGTGCTTACGGGCTCTTAAAATCCTAAAAGTCTAACATTGTCATGCAGGAGTATCACCTTCCATCATCTTATTGCACATGCTGAGCGTTTTTTAACAAATATCTCTTTTAAACGATTTAATTGTTGGCTATAGCTGTAACAGTCTCATTTTCCCTCAACGAGAGAATCTCATAATATAGCATATCATATTTATTCTACCATAAAATTACTTTTAAACTAAAATCATGTTTATTCCACCATAAAGTCACTTTTAGTTTAAAAGTTAAACATTTAACTTTTAAACTAAAAGTGACTTTATGGTGGAATAAACATGATTTTAGTTTAAAAGTAACTTTATGGTGGAATAAACATCATATGCTTTTATATTTTAGTTTAAAGGTGACTTTATGTCAACAGCTATCACTATGTAATGGTTTGTTAACGTAGAATATACATTAATAACTGTTAATAAAAAATTATTGTTTCAAAAAAGAAGAAATTTTAAATGAGCACTATTTAGCAGTGATCCAAAAATCTTAGTTATAGACCTAATATAATTTTGATTTATATTATTGTTACGAATATAACTAGTATTTTGGTTTTGATTGTTCTCTTTATATATTTAACAATTTTATGATAATCTTGTTCATATAAAAAAGAAAGAGTATAAATGTAATAATTAAAATAGCTAATATTTGTTTAAAATTATTGGATTTATTATGTTATTATAAATTATTTAATGTTTGTGTAAATTTTTTACATACATGAAGATTACACAGAATGATTTTGACAAATTTGATTGGATATTTGGTATGGATAATGAGAACATTCAAGATTTGAATAGTATAAAGCCAAAAAAATGTAAGACAAGAGTGGAACTTTTGGGAAGTTACGATCCAAGTGGAGAAGTCATAATACAAGATCCATATTATGTATGTTATTCTTAGTATTTGTATAAAATCGGAAAACAAAATAAAAATATTAAATTGTTTTTATGATCTTATAGGATAATAATAGTGCAGGATTTCAAAAAGCTTATGAGCAATGTCTGAGAAGTATAACAGTATTTTTGGATAAACATTCGGATTAATGGAAGGACTTACATAAATATGTATTAATTTTATAATATTTTTTAGAGAAATGTATTTCAATATAAATTAATAAAGTTTTATGATAATTTCAATGTTTTGTGAAAATTAAGTGTTTTCAACAAATAAGAGAATTAATTTCCGTAATACAAATGAATTAATTATCATTATGTGTTTTCTTTGACAGTAATTATATATGAAATACATATGATAAACATTGTAATTATGTAAATCAGCGCTTGGAATTAGTTGCACATTTCGGGCCGATTCCCGAGACGACGCCTCCTGTTCCCCCACATATTACTATTTTTTAAGAGGTGCCTCAACAACCCAGCCTATTTCACCGATGTGAACTTGGCGCCCAACTTTATTTAAAAAAAAATCACTAATCTAGTTCGTTTGTACTTCGTTTGTACCTGTTTGTACCGCTTCTTATTTCGTTTGTACCTCAAAGGGTAAAAAAATACAAGGGGGTGAAAAAATGGCCAGCGCCCGATTACAAGATTTTTAAATTTCGTTTATGCCATTCGAAAGAGAATCGTTTGTACCCGTTTGTACCTCTTTTGATTTTGTTTGTACCTCAAAGGGTTCGAAGATACAGCGTTTTTCAGTTTCAGCCTAACCCTTCTATAGGGAACTTAGCCATTTTACAAGATATCGAGAAACGGCCAACGGCATTCGAAAGAGAATCGTTTGTACCCGTTTGTACCTCTTTTGTTTTCGTTTGTACCTCAAAGGGTTCGAAGATACAGCGTTTTTTAGTTCAGCCTAACCTTCTATAGGGAACTTAGCCATTTTACAAGATATCGAGAAACGGTCAACGGCATTCGAAAGAGAATTGTTTGTACCCGT